AAAAACAATAAAAACAAAGTAACGGACGATACTTCTATCGCAAACGCATCACCCAAAGACCACCAAAGTCATTGGTTAGTTTCAACTTCCCCTCCATCGATCACCATCCTTGCAACAAATTGATCACCTCTGTTAAAACTGAGCCAAATTAAACCGAAACGGTCCGCGGGCGAGCCGTCCGCTGTCACTGGGATTCCGCGGCGGGGGAGACCAACGCAGCGGCCTTGTTGGGCGTGGTGGTCCTGGACAAATCGCTCTGCTCAGCGGAGGCATTGTCTTTTTTTTATCTTCCTTTAGCGGATCAGGCCAGCTTTCCTTAAGAACCTCAATGACTCAAGATCAAGAACCTCAAGAAGTTTGGATTTCTGAAGTTTGTGAGGTGTTAAAACGTTTAAAGGGATGTGCATGGAACGGCTTCCCCTAGATCACCCAATTCTCCAGGCGCAACTCCGAACAGGCCCTCAAACCCTCCTGAAGCCTGGCAGCGGGCTGCCAACCTGGTCCCAAGCAGAGGCTGGACAAGCAGAATGAAACCAAGAGGCTATGCCACACAGGGCATGAAGACTTAAACTTTGACAGATAGCTAGCAGGTGAACATCCTCACGTTGAGGATCTCTTTGTTTTAAGTATTGGCGCCAAACATTCGCTGACCATCAACCAGTGGCCCATGAGCGTCCGGTGTGGCCCATGGTGCACATCAGTCGATGAGGTGACACTTCCCACTTCGGTCCATGACGGTTTCCTTCGTTTGAAACACATGCACACACGCACACGGAACTGTTGTTGTTGTTGTTGTTGTTGTTGTGCTTGTTGTGCTTGTTGTTGTTGTTGTTGTTGTTGTTGTTTTCTTTAAAAAAATAAGTTATTGTGTTTTTATTGTGTGTGTTATTGTACTTGTTGTTTTTGTTTCTTGTGGGTTTTTGTATGTGTCGGGACTCAGTTCAGGTGAACAAGTGGCTGGTCTTCATGGCGATGAGAAGACCCCACTCTTGCGTCGCCCTGAGGCTCCTCAGCACGCACCCAAAAAAGGAAATTGGACCTCCATATTCTCAAGTCTTGAGATGTTAAGGAGAAGCAAAGATGGGGTGTACAGCTTTACACTCCAGCAAACACTGCTGGCTTTGCCATGTCTCTACTCCAACAGGTAAGACCAATATCATCCACAACAGTTGTGTGTTCTGTGATGTTTCTGCTCAAGAGCAAAGCAAAGGTTTCTACCTGGGAACCAAACCGATAGGTTGAAATTCATGGGCCATAGTCTATGACAGTACCCCAACCGCCACTAAGTTCACCAAATCCTCAGGTACGAAAACCACCATCTTGGTCGACCTCCCTCTGGTCATGGCCCTGAAAACAGGAGGACCACAAACACATCTGGCATCTGGCCTGGCACATCATGCCAGCTCCTGGCAAACATTCTGTCACATGAAAAGGAACCGAAGCAGTCTGGCTAAGCCTGTCACTCTAGCAAAACAACATCTCCTATCTCAAATGTCGTCTGAACTTTGGCGACCTCATGACCTCATTCAGACATAAGGTTCACTTCCACCAAATGGGTCAAGCAGCATGATAAAAGGATGGAGGAGCTTCTATGGGTGAGGGGGGTTGTCTTCCTTCTTTCATGCTTTCAACAGGATCGAGTGACGAACCAAAAGAGAGATGCTGGGCTTCCCATTTCCTTCCAAATGGTGTGTCAAGTTAATCTCGAATCTTACAAATCCAAGAACCTTATGTTGAACGATTTGGGCCGGTGAGAGGCTTCTCTATAAAAAAC